AGGAGGTCACGTGACAGACCCAGCAGGTGTCATGGGTTGACTGCTGCTGTGCCAGGCTAGGTGCAGGAGGAGGAGGTCACGTGACAGATCCAGCAGGTGCCATGCAGCTCCAGCGCCCCCTGCCGCAGGTTCTGCTCGCTGACGGCGCTTTGCCCGTTGCGGCCTGTTGAGGTTACTCGGTGGTGGGGGGGGGGGGGTGGGGGGGGGTGGGGAGGGTGGGTGGGGAGGGTGGGTGGAGATTTTTGTGTCTTAGTGGGGAGACGAAGGCGGGCGGGCGGGAGGTTTGCCGGCCACACACCCGCCCGCCCGCTCACCCACCCGCTCACCCACTCACCCATTCACTTACCCACCCGCTCACCCACTCACCCACCCGCTCACCCACTCACCCATTCACTTACCCACCCGCTCACACACACACCCACTCGCTCACCCACCCACCCGCTCACCCACCCACTCACCCACCCGCTCACTTACCCACTCACTTGCTCGCTCACCCACTCACCCACTCACCCACCCGCTCACCCATTCACCCACTCACCCACTCACTCATCCGCTCACCCACCCGCCCACCCACCCACTCGCTCACCCACTCACCCACTCACTCACTCGCTCACCCACCCGCTCACCCACTCACCCATTCACTCACCCGCTCATCCACTCACCCATCCGCTCAGCTGACTGCTCGCTCACCCACCCGCCCACTCATCCACCCGCTCGCTCACCTATTCACTCACCCACTCTCTTACTCACCCACCCGCCCATTCACCCACCCGCCCACCCACCCAACCGCTCACCCACCCAACCGCTCACCCACCCGCTCACTTACCCACTCACCCACTCTCCCGCTCACCCACCCACTCACCCACCCGCTCATCCACTCACCCATCCGCTCAGCCGACCGCTCGCTCACCCACCCGCCCACTCACCCACCCGCTCGCTTGCCCACTCGCTTGCTCGCTCGCTCACTCACTCACCCACGCCCCCGCTCACCCACTCACTCACCCACTCGGCCGCTCACCCACCCGCTCGCTCACAGACCCACACCCACCCCGCGCGGCTCCGGCCTTGACCGTGCTGGCAACAACCCCGCGGGGGCCAGCTTCGCCACGTCCCCCTATCGCGTGCGCTGTTTGTGCGGGGCAGGCGGGCGACACGAAGCCTCCCCACAGCTACGCGACGCTCATCGCCCGCGCCATCGCCCAGTCGAGCCACGGGCGACTCCCGCTCGCCGCCATCTACCAGTGGGTGTGCGACCACCACCCCTACTATCGGCACGCCCCGCCGGGGTGGAAGGTACCGCTCGATGGATGGATCGGTGGATCGCTCGATCGCCCGCCCGCCCGCCCATCCGCTCGCCCACTCGCCCGCTCGCCCAACCGCTCGCCCGCCCAACCGCTCGCTCGCTCACCCACTCGCTCACCCGCTCAACCACCCATCCACTCACCCGCCCAACCGCTCGCCCAACCGCTCGCCCAGACGCTCGCACACCCGCTCGCTCTCTCACCCGCTCGCTCTCTCACCCGCACACTCACCCACTCACCCACCCACTCACTTACTCGCTCACCCACTCGCTCACCCGCTCAACCACGCATCCACCCACCCGCTCGCCCACCCGCTCGCCCACCCGCCCGCCCACCCGCTCGCCCACTCACTCGCCCACCCACTAACCTAGTTCACCCACCCACTCTTTCTCTCATCCACCCACTCACTCGCTCACCCACTCGCCCACCCGCTCACCCATCCACTCACACACCCACCCGCTCGCCCACCCGCTCGCCCACTCACTCCTCCACTCACTCGCCCACTCACTAGCTCACCCACTCACCCACTCAACCACTTGCTCACTTACCTACTCGCTTGCTCGCTCACCCACTCGCTCACTCACCCGCTCACCCGCCCACTCACCCACTCGCTCACCCACTCGCTCACTCACCCGCTCACCCATCCACTCACCCACTCACTCTCTCACCCGCACACTCACCCACTCGCTCACCCACTCACCCACTCACCCACCCACTCACTCTCTCGCCCGCACACTCATCCACCCACTCACTCGCTCACCCACTAGCCCACCCGCTCACCCACCCGCTCACTTACCCACTCACTTGCTCGCTCACTCACTTGCTCACTCATCTGCTCACCCGCCCACTCACCCACTCGCTCACCCACCCACTCACCCACCCGCTCACCCACCCGCTCACCCACTCCCTATTGATGTTGTTGATGTTGATCCTGTTGATGATGATTGTGATGATGTTGATGAGGATGTTGTTGATGTTTATTGTGTTGTTGATGATGATGATGTTGGTCATGTTGATATTGATCATTGTGTTGTTGTTGATATTGATGATGTTGTTGATGTTGATGATGATGTTGTTGATGTTGTTAATGATGTTGTTGTTGTTTGTGGTTAGAACTCAATCAGGCACAACTTGTCACTCAACAAGATATTCCGCAAAGTCCCTCGCTCACAGGAAGACCCAGGCAAGGTGAGTACTCACGGACTCACTCCCGGACTCACTCACAGACTCACGGACTCACTCACGGACTCACTCACAGACCCACAGACTCACTCACAGACCCACGGACTCACTCAGAGACCCACAGACTCACTCACAGACCCACAGACTCACTCACAGACCCACAGACTCACTTAGAGACTCATGGACTCACTCACGGACTCACTCAGAGACCCACGAACTCACTCCCGGACTCACTCACAGACCCACGGACTCACTCACGGACTCACTCAGAGACCCACAGACTCAATCAGAGACCCACAGACTCACTCATAGACCCACAGACTCACTTACAGACCCACAGACTCACTCAGAGACCCACAGACTCACTCACAGACCCACAGACTCACTCACAGACCCACAGACTCACTCACAGACCCACAGACTCACTCACAGACCCACATACTCACTCAGAGACCCAGGGACTCACTCAGAGACCCAGAGACTCACTCAGAGACTCATGGACTCACTCACGGACTTACTCACAGACCCACGGACTCACTCAGAGACCCACGGACTCACTCACGGACTCACTCAGAGACCCACGTAGTCACTCACAGACCCACGTAGTCACTCACAGACCCACGGACTCACTCAGAGACCCACGGACTCACTCACAGACCCAGGGACTCACTCAGAGACTTACGGACTCAATCAGAGACCCACAGACTCACTCAGAGATTTATGGACTCAATCAGAGACCCACAGACTCACTCAGAGACCCACAGACTCACTTACAGACCCACAGACTCACCCAGAGACCCACAGACTCACTCACAGACCCAGGGACTCACTCAGAGACCCAGGGACTCACTCAGAGACTCATGGACTCACAGACCCACGGACTCACTCTGAGACCCACGGACTCACTCAGAGACCCACAGACTCACTCAGAGACCCACAGACTCACTCACAGACCCACAGACTCACTCAGAGACCCACAGACTCACTCAGAGACCCACAGACTCACTCACAGACCCACAGACTCACTCAGAGACCCACAGACTCACTCAGAGACCCACAGACTCACTCACAGACCCACGGACTCACTCACAGACCCACGTAGTCACTCACAGACCCACGGACTCACTCAGAGACCCACGGACTCACTCACAGACCCAGGGACTCAATCAGAGACCCACGGACTCACTCAGAGACCGACAGACTCACTCAGAGGCCCACGGACTGACGGACTCACTCAGAGACCGACAGACTCACTCAGAGACCCACGGACTGACGGACTCACTCAGAGACCCACGGACTCACTCAGAGACCCACGGATTCACTCAGTGACCCACGGACTCACTCAGAGACCCGCAGACCCACTCAGAGACCCACAGACTCACCACACAGAGACTCACAGACTCATCGCTCAAGGGACCCATTCACTTACCCACTCACTCGCTCACCCAATCACTTGCTCATCCACTCACTTGCTCATCCACTCACTCGCTCACTTACCTACTCACTCGCTCACTTACCCACTCACTCACTCACCCACTCACCCACTCATTCACTCGCTCACTTACCCACTCACTCACCCACTCACTCAGTCACCCACTCACTCACTCACCCACCCACTCACACACCCACCCACTCACCCTCTCACTCACTCACTCACCCACTCACGCACTCATTCACCCACCCACTCACTCACCCACTCACGCACTCACCCACTCACTCACCCACCCACTCACTCACCCACCGACTCACTCACTCACCCACCCAATCACCCACTCACCCACCCACTCACTCACCCACCCACTCACTCACCCACTCACTCACCCACCAACCCACCCACTCACCCACCCACTCACTCATTCACCCACTCACTCACCCACCCACCCACCCACTCACTCACCCACTCACTCACTCACCCACTCACTCACCCACCCACCCACTCACTCACTCACCCACCCACTCACTCACCCACTCATTCACCCACCCACTTACTCACCCACCCACTCACTCACCCACCCACTCACTCACCCACTCACTCACTCACTCACCCACCCACCCACCCACTCACCCACCCACTCACTCAGTCACCCACTCACTCACTTACCCACCCACTCACTCACCCACCCACCCACCCACTCACTCACCCACCCACCCACCCACTCACTCACTCACCCACCTACCCACTCACTCATTCACTCACCCACTCACTCACTCACTCACCCACCCACCCAATCACCGACTCACTCACTCACCCACTCACCCACTCACTCACCCATCCACTCACTCACCCACTCACTCACTCATCCAACCACCCAATCACCCACCCACCAACTCCTCTGTCGGTGGTGATGTTGATGGTGATGTTGATGACGAGGGTGATGTTGATGGTGATGTTGATGACGAGGGTGATGATGTCAGTGATGTTGTTGATGTCGATTCAGGGTTGCTACTGGGCCCTAGCATCTTCAGTGAAGCAGGAAGATGAGGTGGGGGAGGAGGAGGAGGAGGAGGGGGAGGAGGGAGGAGAGGGGGGGGAGGGAGAGGGGTGGGTGTCACGGAAGAGACCCTACCCAGACGACGAGGTGACAGCACCACCACCACAACCACCACCACCACAACAACTACCACTACCACCACCACAACAACAACCACAACAACCACCACCACAACAACTACCACTACAACCACCACCACAACAACCACAACCACCACAACCACCACCACAACCAGCACTACCACCAGCACTACCACCACCACAACCACCACCACCACCACAACAACTACCACTACCACCACAACCACCACCACAACAACTACCACTACCACCACAACAACCACAACAACCACCACCACAACCACCACCACAACAACTACCACTTCCACCACCACAACCACCACAACCACCACCACAACCACGACAACCACCACAACAACCACCACAACAACCACCACAACCACCACAACCACCACCACAACCACCACGACAACCACGACAACCACCACAACCACCACCACTACCACCACACCCACAACAACCACCACCACAACCACCACCACAACAACTACCACCACCACTACCACCACCACAAGCACCACAACCACAACCACCACCACAACCACGACAACCACCACAACAACCACCACAACAACCACCACAACCACCACGACAACCACCACAACCACCACCACAACCACCACCACTACCACCACACCCACCACCACAACAACCACAACAACCACTACCACGACAACCACAACCACCACACCCTCCATCAAAACCACTACTACCACTACCACCACAACCGCTACCACCACAACAACCACTACCACAACTACCACCACAACGACCACAACAACCACCACAACAACCACTACCACAACAACCACCACAACCACTACCACCACAACCACCACCACAACAACCACTACCACCACCACTACCACGACAACCACCACCACAACAACCACTACAACCACAACAACCACCACACCCACCACCCCAACCACTATCACAATGACCACAACAACGACCACAACAACGACAACCACCACACCCACCACCCCAACCACCCCAACCATCCCAACCACTACCACAACGACCACAAAGACAAAGACAAAGATCCCCCGTGTAGCCTGTAACAGACTGTAGGGGCAAGTGCTGTTAGCGAGCACCTATGAAGGCCGGAACGGTACACGAGGGGGTGGGTGGCCAGCACCACGCCCGACCGCCTTTGTCTCCCTAGTGGCGATGTTTTCACACCGCACCAGGTACTCATTTGAGGCTGAGTCGACCTAGGGGAGTCCCGGGACCGGTTCAGATAATCGTCACTGGTGTTGGCCGTGAGCGGGAATCGAACCCGGGTCGCCAGGTTCATAGCGCAGCGTAGCGCTAACCGCTACACTATCGCTCCCCACGACGACCACAACAACCACCACAACAACCACTACCACGACAACCACAACCACCACACCCACCACCTCTACCACCACCGCTACCACCACAACAACCACCACTACAACAACCACAACAACCACTATCACAACAACTACCACAACAACCACCACCACCACAATAACCACCACCACAACCACTACCGCAACAACCACCACCAGAACCACCACAACAACCACCACAACAACCACTACCACGAGAACCACAACCACCACACCCACCACCCCTACCACCACCACCACCGCTACCACCACAACAACCACTACCACAACGACCACCACAACAACGACCACAACAACCACCACCACAATAACCACCACCACAACCACTACCGCAACAACCACCACCAGAACCACCACCACAACCACCACAACAACCACCACCACAACCACCACCAGCACCACAACAACCACCACCAATACCAACAGCCGCCATTCACCATTAAGTGACGGTGACGTCACCACGGCGCCTGTGCCAGGCTAGGTGCACTTTGAGGCTACCACGTGAAGTGTCGAAGGATTGGTGACAAGGAGGTTACGTGACAGACCCAGCAGGTGCCACGGGTTGACTGCTGTGCCAGGCTAGGTGCAGGAGGAGGAGGTCCCGGGACAGACTCAGCAGGTGCCATGGGCTGGCTGACTGAGATGAGCCGTAGATGCACCACCTGTGCCCCCTACTGTGCGAACTTGCTGGATTTTATCCACCCGGCGCTCCACTCGTTGTTGTGAGCGTCGCTCCTCCGCCCTCCGTTGTTGTTGGAGGGCGACTGCCTCCAACTGCCCAGTAGCGTCCTTCACGAGCCTCCTCCACAGAGGCCGATCTTGACACCGCTGGTACCAGTCATCGGCAAGTCCACTCAGCTCTACATCCTCCCGTACCACATCACTCCATCTCTTTTCCAGCCAATGTTGTGCCCGTTTAGCCCCCTCTATGCGCCCAAACAAAAGCTGCTTGGGCGTGCGGTGGCTGGGCATGCGGGCTACATGACCCAGCCAATACAGCTTTGCCTGTCCCGATCTTTCAAGGATTTGTGAGCTCCTCACACAATCCAGACTGCTGGTTTAAACCCAGGATGGAACGTAGGTAGGCTAGCCTAAATGTTCCTAACCGGCGAAGATGTTCCATTAAGGGGGGGGTCCACGTTTCGCAAGCGTAGAGAAGGGAGGGAATGATCGTGGCCGAGAAGACCCGAAGCTTCGTGCGGAGCGACAGACCAGGTAGCTTCCACACAGCGTTACGCAACCGATGAAAAGATATTGCCGCTCGACTGATTCGGAGTGAGACCACCGCTGTCAAACTGGAGCTGGTCATGAGCACACTGCCCAGGTATGGGGGGAAACTCTCCACTCTCTCCACAACTGCCCCATCACCAATGGGGAGCTGAGGGGTGGAGTTTTGGTGGGGCTGATGGGAAGGCCCCACCTCTTAGTGGCAAACTCCAGGTTTAGCAGCAGCGCCTCCAACTCCTCCTCTGAGTGAGCAGCGATTACCAGATCATCGGCATACATAACACAACCACCACAACCACCACCACTTCCACCACTACCACAGAAACCACAACCACTACCGGCAGAACCACAACCACCAACAACCACCAACCACAACCACCACCACAACCAATACCATCACAACTACCATCACCGCCACTACCACTACAACCACCACTAACACCACTACCATCACCACCACAACCACCACTACCATCACCACCACAACAACCACAACCAATACCATCACAACTACCATCACCGCCACTACCACCACTACCACCACCACCACAACCACCACTACCACCACTACCATCACCACCACTACCACCACTACCACCACCACCACAACTACCACTACCACTACTACCATCACCACCACTACCACCACTACCATCACCACCACAACAACCACAACCAATACCATCACAACTACCATCACCGCCACTACCACCACTACCACCACTACCACCACAACTACCAACAACCAAAACCACTACCATCACCACCACTACCATCACTACCATCACCACCACAACAACCACAACCAATACCATCACAACTACCATCACCGCCACTACCACCACTACCACCACCACCACAACCACCACTACCACCACTACCATCACCACCACTACCACCACTACCACCACCACCACAACTACCACTACCACCACTACCATCACCACCACTACCACCACTACCATCACCACCACAACAACCACAACCAATACCATCACAACTACCATCACCGCCACTACCACCACTACCACCACTACCACCACAACTACCAACAACCAAAACCACTACCATCACCACCACTACCATCACTACCATCACCACCACAACAACCACAACCAATACCATCACAACTACCATCACCGCCACTACCACCACTACCACCACCACCACAACTACCAACAACCAAAACCACTACCATCACCACCACTACCACCACTACCATCACCACCACAACAACCACAACCAATAACATCACAACTACCATCACCGCCACTACCACCACTACCACCACCACCACAACCACCACTACCACCACTACCATCACCACCACTACCACCACTACCACCACCACCACAACTACCACTACCACCACTACCATCACCACCACTACCACCACTACCATCACCACCACAACAACCACAACCAATACCATCACAACTACCATCACCGCCACTACCACCACTACCACCACTACCACCACAACTACCAACAACCAAAACCACTACCATCACCACCACTACCATCACTACCATCACCACCACAACAACCACAACCAATACCATCACAACTACCATCACCGCCACTACCACCACTACCACCACCACCACCACCACAACCACCACTACCACCACTACCATCACCACCACTACCACCACTACCACCACCACCACAACTACCACTACCACCACTACCATCACCACCACTACCACCACTACCATCACCACCACAACAACCACAACCAATACCATCACAACTACCATCACCGCCACTACCACCACTACCACCACTACCACCACAACTACCAACAACCAAAACCACTACCATCACCACCACTACCATCACTACCATCACCACCACAACAACCACAACCAATACCATCACAACTACCATCACCGCCACTACCACCACTACCACCACCACCACAACCACCACTACCACCACTACCATCACCACCACTACCACCACTACCACCACCACCACAACTACCACTACCACCACTACCATCACCACCACTACCACCACTACCATCACCACCACAACAACCACAACCAATACCATCACAACTACCATCACCGCCACTACCACCACTACCACCACTACCACCACAACTACCAACAACCAAAACCACTACCATCACCACCACTATCATCACTACCATCACCACCACAACAACCACAACCAATACCATCACAACTACCATCACCGCCACTACCACCACTACCACCACTACCACCACAACTACCAACAACCAAAACCACTACCATCACCACCACTACCATCACTACCATCACCACCACAACAACCACAACCAATACCATCACAACTACCATCACCGCCACTACCACCACTACCACCACCACCACAACCACCACTACCACCACTACCATCACCACCACTACCACCACTACCACCACCACCACAACCACCACTACCACCACTACCACCACCACCACCACAACTACCACTACCACCACTACCATCACCACCACTACCACCACTACCATCACCACCACAACAACCACAACCAATACCATCACAACTACCATCACCGCCACTACCACCACTACCACCACCACCACAACCACCACTACCACCACCACTTCCTCTACCCCTCCCCTCAGGAGGGATCACTGAGCCCGCCCCCCCCTCCTCCCCCCACCCTCCTCCCCCCACCCCCACTCCCCCCACCCCCACTTCCCCTCCCCCCTCCACCCCCACTCCCCCCCCGCCCCTCCTCCCCCCTCCTCCCTCCCCCCCACCCCACCTCCACCCCCCACCCTCACTTCCCCCCGCCCCCTTTCCCCTCCACCCCCCACCCCCCCCCCTGCCCCCCCACCCCTGTGCAGCCGTGCGGCAGACTTGCTGGTGAGCGTGAGGCTCCCTCACCCTCACCCACGCTCGCCTCCCTCACCCTCACCAACGTGACCGCTGTGCACAACTACGCAGCAGCGGTGAGCTCCAGCGCCGACCATCATCATCAACAGCATCATCATCAGTAGCATCATCAGCATCATCAGCATCAGCAGCATCATCATCAGTATCATCAGCAGCAGCAGCATCAGCAGCAGCAGCATCAGCAGCAGCAGTAGCAGCATCATCAGCATCATCAGCATCATCATCAGCAGCATCATCATCAGCAGCAGCATCATCAGCAGTATCATCACCAGCATCATCTTCATCATCAGTAGCAGCAGCATCAGCAGCAGCATCAGCATCATCAGTAGCAGCATGAGCAGCAGCATCTTCATCATCATTAGCAGCATCATCAGCAGCATCAGCATCATCATCAGCAGCATAAGCAGCAGCATCATCATCAACAGCAGCAACACCATCAGCACCATCAGCAGCAGCATCAACAGATGTATCCCTGCTTGTGTGTATAGCTGTGTGTAGTGGTGTGTGTGTGTGTGTCCGTGGTTTAGTGTTAATTTATTGAAGGTGGAGGGGTTACCAGCCCCTCGCACTCGTCCAGAGAGGCTGCCACTCCTCTGTCGGGAGCTGGACCGGTACCTCCTGGATCTCTGTGGCATTCAGGAGGTCTGGTGGACCGGTTCTGGCTCCTGCCACCATGAGGGGTGGACAGTCCTCTACTCGGGGCAGCAGACTGCCAAACAACAGGGAGTGGCTCTTCTTTTAAACAAAAGAATGAAGGGGGCGTGGGAGCGTGACGGTGAGGTGTGGGAAGCTGTAAGCCCCAGGCTGCTTTGGGCTCGCCTTCCCATCAACCGGAGGCGAGGAGTGGTGGTCGTGGTTACTTATGCTCCCACCGAAGACGAACATCCGTGGAGGGATGCAGGCAAGGCCGATGAGTCAGATGCCTTCTATGACCTCCTGTCACAGGTGCTGGCTAAAGTGGCCCCTCGGGATAGAGTCATCATGTTGGGTGACTTCAATGCCCAAGTTGGTCACGATGCTGGCACCTGGTCTGGAGTGATTGGAGGGCATGGGCCAGATCAGCTCAATAACAACGGTAGGAGGCTGCTAGATTTTTGTGCAGCCCATGGGCTTGTAATTACCAACACGCTGTTCTGGCATCGGCACATCCACACAACATCATGGATGCATGCCGGGTCCAAGCAAGAACATCTGCTGGACTACATAGTGACGGACCAGCGGATGCGAGCCCATGTCCTTGACACCAGGACCTACCGTGTGAGCTGATCTGCCCTCTGACCATCGACTTGTCATCTGTAAGATGCGCCTGCCATTCTTCCACTCCGGTGGTGGGTGTATACCCAGGACCCCATTCCAACCTAAATTGACCTGTTCTCAGTTATCTGATGAAAGTTGCAAGCGAGAATTTCATCATCGCTTGCGGCTGGGGTTGGCGTCGTCCCCGACTCCTCCTGATGTCGAGGGTAAATGGGCGAGGTTTAGGACTGTGACTCATGCAGCTGCAATGGCTGCTTTGGGTACGCGGTCCAGACCTCCCCAGAGATCCTGGCTGACAGGAGGTGTTCAGGGTGGTTAAGAAAAAGCAACAGGCCCACTCTAATCGTCTACAGCATCCCACGTCAGAGAATGAGGAGGCTTACCGCAGCCTTCGCTCGGATGTTCGGAGAGCCATGAGGCGCTGCAAGGATGGGTGGTGGTCGCGGGTTGCTGAGGAGATGGAGTCTGCCTCAATGGCCCGCGATCACAAATCCCTATTTAACTCCATCAAAAAAGTAACCTGCAGCGCCACACCTATTACCATCATTAGGGGAAAGAACGGTGATCCAATCTCCAACCCCCAGGAACAGGTTTGCAGATTTGCTAAGCATTTCTGTGAGGTCCTGGGGGAGGGGGAATTCCTCAGCCTGGAAAACATCGTGGCACAAAGTGGGGATGACCCTGCTGAGGCTGCGGTGCCTCAAATATTGGAGGAGGAATTCACCCCCTGTGAGTAGCTGGCTGAGGTGCCATCCGTTGAGGAAGTACTGAAGGCCATCCAGAGTCTGAGACCAGGAAAGGCACCAGGCAGAGATGATCTCCCAAGCGAAATGCTGAGGGAGGGTGGCGTTTGTGCACAGACTGCCCTATATGACATCATAACAGTCTAGGCCACTGGACGGGTTCCGCAGGATTGGAAGGATGCCCTGGTGGTCCCCCTCTTTAAGAAGGTGGACCGCACAGACTGTAACAACTACAGGGGCATCTCACTCCTCAGTGTGCCGGGAAAGGTCCTGGCAAGGATTATTCAACATCGCCTTGTTAGGCATGCTGAGGAGAGGCTTGCGGTGCCCCAATGCGGTTTCAGGAAAGGGCGGTCCTGCACAGATGCCATTTTTTCTGTCTGTCTGCTACAGCAGAGGTTTAGGGAATTCCAAGAAGACCTACATCTCTGTTTTATTGACCTGGTCAAGGCCTATGATACCATCAGTAGGCCTGGGCTCTGGGTTGTTCTTCGTGCTTTCGGAGTCCCTGACCCTCTGCTCACGCTCATTAAGGACCTTCATGATGGTGAGCAGGCCCGGGTAAAACTACGTGGCCGGGAGTCAGAGCCATTCCCTGTACATCTTGGGGTGCGGCAGGGATGTCCTCTGGCTCCCACATTATTTAACATCTATTTTGACCACGTAGTTCGTGAAGCCTTCAATAGCTGTACCGGGGGAATCTCCATATGGTACACATATAATGGGAGGCTAATCGATGCCCGGGTGCGGTCAAGGGATGGCTCCCTATTGCTCAACCACGTTATGTATGCTGATGATTTGGTAATAGCTGCTCAGTCAGAGGAGGAGTTGGAGACGCTGCTGCTGAGACTGGAGCGTGCCACTAAGAGGTGGGGCCTTACCATCAGCCCCACCAAAACTAAGCACCTGCCTGGGTATTTTGTACCATCGGACACTCCACCCCCACAACTCCCAATCGTTGATGGGGCAGTTGTGGAGAGAGTGGAGAGTTTCCCATACCTAGGCAGTGTGCTTATGACTGGCTCCAGTTTAACAGTAGAGGTCTCACTCCGAATCAGTCGAGCGGAAATATCTTTTCATCGGTTGCGTAACGCTGTGTGGAAGCTACCTGGTCTGTCGCTCCGCACTAAGCTTCAGGTCTTCTCGGCCACGGTCATTCCCTCCCTTCTCTACGCTTGCGAAACGTGGACCCCCCTAATGGAACATCTTCGCCGGTTAGAAACATTTAGGCTGGCCTGCCTACAATCCATCCTGGGTTTAACCAGACTGGATTGTGTGAGGAGCTCACAAATCCTTGAAAGATCTGGGCAGGGTCCCATCGGTGAGCTCCTCCGGCAGGCAAGGCTGCGATGGCTGGGTCATGTAGCCCGCATGCCCAGCCACCGCATGCCGAAACAGCTTTTGTTTGGCCGAATTGAGGGGGCTAAGCGGGCGCGGCACGGGCTAGAGAAGAGATGGAGTGATGTGGTACAGGAGGACGTGGAGCTGAGTGGACTTGCCGATGACTGGTACCAGCGGTGTGAAGATCGGCCTCTGTGGAGGAGGCTCGTGAAGGACGCTACTGGGCAGTTGGAGGCAGTCGCCCTCCAACAACAACGGAGGGCGGAGGAGCGATGCTCAGAACAACGAGCGGAGCGCCGGGTGGCTAAAGCACAGCAGGTTGGCACAGTAGGGGGCACAGGTGGTGCATCAGCCAGTCATCTCAGTCAGTCGACCCGTGGCACCTGGGTCTGCCCCGTGACCTCCTGCCAGCGGGCGTTCGACACTTCACGTGGCCTCAGGGTGCACATAGCCTGGCACAAGCGTCGTGGTGACGTCACCGCCACTTAGTGGCGAATGGCGGTTGTTGTTGTCTGTGTAGTGTGTGTGTGTAATGTGTGTGTGTGTCCGTGTGTGCGTGCAGTGTGTGTCTGTGTAGTGTGTGTGTAATGTGTGTGTGTGTGTCCGTGTGTGTGCGTGCAGTGTGTGTCTGTGTAGTGTGTGTGTAATGTGTGTGCGTGCAGTGTGTGTGTAGTGTGTGTGTGTAATGTGTGTGTGTGTGTCCTTGTGTGTGTGTAGTGTGTGTGTCCTTGTGTGTGCGTGCAGTGTGTGTCTGTGTAGTATGTGTGTGTAATGTGTGTGTGTGTAATGTGTGTGCGTGCAGTGTGTGTGTGTAGTGTGTGTGTGTAGTGTGTGTGTGTAATGTGTGTGTGTGTAATGTGTGTGTGTGTGTGGTGTGTGTGTGTAGTGTGTGTGTGTAATGTGTGTGTGTAATGCGTGTGTGTGTGTAATGTGTGTGTGTAATGTGTGTGTGTAGTGTGTGTGTGTAATGTGTGTGTGTAATGCGTGTGTGTGTAGTGTGTGTGTGTAATGTGTGTGTGTAATGTGTGTGTGTAATGTGTGTGTGTAATGTGTGTGTGTAATGTGTGTGTGTAAAGTGTGTGTGTGTAGTGTGTGTGTGTAGTGTGTGTGTGTAATGTGTGTGTGTAATGTGTGTGTGTAATGTGTGTGTGTAATGTGTGTGTGTCTGTGTAGTATTTGTGTGTGTGTAATGTGTGTGTGTCTGTGTAGTATGTGTGTGTGTGTAGTGTGTGTGTGTAATGTGTGTGTGTGTGTGTAATGTGTGTGTGTAGTGTGTGTGTGTAATGTGTGTGTGTGTGTGTGTTTTGTGTGTGTAGTGTGTGTGTGTAGTATGTGTGTGTGTGTAATGTGTGTGTATGTAGTGTGTGTGTAGTGTGTGTGTGTAGTATGTGTGTGTGTGTGTTGTGTGTGTAGTATGTGTGTGTGTGTAGTGTGTGTGTGTAATGTGTGTGTGTCCGTGTGTGTAAAGTGTGTGTGTGTAGTGTGTGTGTGTGTGTGTAATGTGTGTGTAATGTGTGTGTGTGTAATGTGTGTGTTTGTGTGTGTAATGTGTGTAATGTGTGTGTGTAATGTGTGTGTGTAGTGTGTGTGTAATGTGTGTGTAATGTGTGTGTGTGTAATGTGTGTGTGTGTAGTGTGTGTGTAGTGTGTGTGTGTAATGTGTGTAATGTGTGTGTGTGTAATGCGTGTGTAATGTGTGTGTGTGTGTAATGTGT